ACTAATGGAGCTACTCAGTTATCCTGGCCAAAATCCAGAGGTCAGACTCATTCCCATAAGGAGCATGTTTGATAAATAATAGCAGATTTAACATTCTTTAACCTTAAAAGTAAGTATAGGTCAAACCATCATAATGAGATTTAGAAAAATACTTCAGTATTGAAATATGAACATTGCTCTTTAATTGAGGGCTTTTTTCCCCTTTTGTATTTAGCTTCGTGTCTGCAGTTGCAGTGGAATTAACTTTTTGATGTAGAAACCAATCTTTAGTGTTGGATCAAAATTAGCTAAGGCCTAATGTAGAAACTTGGAAGCATTTTTTTAATTGTCAGTGTAGAGCTTGGTGATATGCACATTTTTTTTCTTGTCAACAACTGATTGGGACCTTGAATGACTACAAATTAGTTTAGTGACAGGGGCAACTGTCACAGATATCTTTTGAATCAGTTGAAAATGAACAAGGTTGACAGGAACTTGAGAGTCTAATGAGTCCTTCAAATGGTTGATTTGCACTCAGTGGACAACTAGACAATAAGCAGTATGAAATATTGGAAATCAATACTTTACTATGGAATTTCATTATGCCCCAATGTCTTCAGTTCATAGTATTTTATATTTTGATGGATTATCTGAAGGAAATGATCATCTAAGACACAGAGATTGATAAAACTCCCTTGTACAGTCTTAAAAATCAGTCATGAGCAACATTTGTGAAGTAGAAATATTGATCCGTTTTCATGTACAATCTTAGTCTATTTTAGTATGGTTGAGAAAAATGGTAGATTAAAATAAAAATGTCCTGGAGGATTTTTCTGCATTTCTGCTTGGTTTCTAATCCGTCATCTTTTGATGTTGTAGGAGACACAGAAAAGGGTCAAGCAAATCGAACCACTAAGAACAAGGACGCCCATGTCTGTGGCAGGTGCTGTGCTGAGTTCTTTGAATTATCAGATCTCCTGCAACACAAGAAGAACTGTACTAAAAATCAATTAGTTTTAATTGTGAATGAAAATCCAGCTTCTCCTTCTGAAACCTTCCCTCCTAGTTCCCCTTCTGATAATCCTGATGAACAGATGAATGACACAGTTAATAACACAGATCAAGTAGACTGCAGTGACCTTTCAGAGCATAACAAACTTGACAAGGAAGAATCCATGGATGTGGAGGCTTCCAGCATTAACAATAGCAGTAGCAGTTCCAAGAGCATCAACAATAGTATTACAAGCAGTAACAGCTCCACAATGGGTACCTCAGCTGTAACAACCTCTCTACCTCAAATAGGGGATCTGACAACATTAGGCAACTTTTCGGTGATAAATAGCAATGTAATAATCGAAAACCTTCAAAGTACTAAAGTGGCAGTAGCACAGTTCTCACAAGAAGCAAGATGTAATGGTGCATCAAATAATAAGGTTGCTGTACCTGCCCTAATGGAGCAACTGTTGGCTTTACAGCAACAACAGATCCACCAGTTGCAACTGATTGAACAAATTCGTCACCAAATATTATTGTTGGCCTCCCAAAACACAGACATGCCAACATCTTCTAGTCCTTCTCAAGGTACATTACGAACATCTGCCAACCCCTTATCCACATTAAGTTCACATTTATCCCAGCAGCTGGCTGCAGCAGCTGGATTAGCACAAAGCCTTGCTAGTCAATCTGCCAGCATCAGTGGTGTAAAACAACTACCCCCTATACAGCTACCTCAGAGCAACCCTGGCAACACTATAATTCCATCCAGTAGTGGCTCTTCTCCAAATATTAACATATTGGCAGCAGCAGTTACAACACCGTCCTCAGAAAAAGTGGCTTCAAGTATTGGTGGCTCACAGCTCAACAACCCACCAGTATCAGCATCATCTTCACCAGCTTTTGCAATAAGCAGTTTATTAAGTCCTGCATCTAATCCACTTCTACCTCAGCCCACCCCTAGTAACTCTGTTTTCTCCACCCCTTTGTCCAATATTGGAACACCTGCAGAGGATTTAAACTCCTTGACTGCCTTGGCACAGCAAAGAAAAAGCAAGCCACCAAATGTAACTGCTTTTGAAGCAAAAAGTACTTCAGATGAGGCATTCTTTAAACATAAATGCAGGTTCTGTGCTAAAGTGTTTGGGAGTGACAGTGCCTTGCAGATTCACTTACGTTCTCACACCGGCGAGAGGCCATTCAAATGCAACATATGTGGAAACCGGTTCTCCACCAAGGGAAACTTAAAAGTCCATTTTCAGCGTCATAAAGAAAAATACCCTCATATTCAAATGAATCCATACCCTGTGCCAGAGCATTTGGACAATATTCCTACAAGCACAGGTATTCCTTATGGAATGTCTATACCACCTGAGAAACCTGTAACCAGCTGGCTGGACAGCAAGCCAGTCTTGTCGACTCTGACAACTTCTGTTGGCCTGCCACTCCCACCAACAATTCCAAGTTTGACGCCATTTATCAAAACTGAGGAGCCTCAACCTATTCCCATTAGCCATCCTTCGGCTAGCCCTCCGTGTTCTGTCAAAAGTGACTCGGGAGGAGCTGATTCTGCCACAAGAAATTCAAATGGACTTTCAGATGAGGTAGAGGCTGGTGGTTTGCCTAACTCACACAGCAAAACAGAAGAAAGCACTCAAAATTCAAACTCTATCACTAACGCTAACAACTCGGTGAGCTCTCCGGCAGCAGACTCTGGCTCCAGCAGTGCCGTCACTTTCACAAATCCACTGATGCCTCTAATGTCAGAGCAATTTAAAGCAAAGTTTCCATTTGGAGGACTGTTAGATTCAACACCGGCATCAGAAACGTCAAAATTGCAGCAACTGGTAGAAAATATTGATAAAAAGGCAACCGACCCCAATGAGTGCATTATTTGCCATCGAGTTCTCAGTTGCCAGAGTGCATTAAAAATGCATTATCGCACACATACTGGTGAAAGGCCATTTAAATGTAAAATCTGTGGTCGTGCATTCACTACTAAAGGAAATCTAAAAACTCATTATAGTGTTCATCGTGCCATGCCCCCATTGAGAGTACAACATTCATGTCCGATCTGCCAGAAAAAGTTCACCAATGCTGTTGTGTTGCAGCAGCATATTAGAATGCATATGGGAGGACAGATTCCCAATACCCCCATCACTGAAAACTATCCTGAGTCAATGGAATCTGATACTGGATCTTTTGATGAGAAGAATTTTGATGATCTAGACAACTTCTCAGATGAGAACATGGAAGACTGTCCTGACAGCAGCGTGCCAGATACACCTAAATCTGTTGATGCATCACAAGACAGTTTATCTTCTTCACCTCTCCCACTGGAAATGTCAAGTATTGCTGCTTTGGAAAATCAAATGAAAATGATCAATGCCGGACTTGCTGAGCAACTTCAAGCAAGCTTAAAGTCGGTTGAAAATGGGTCAGTGGAGGGGGATGTTATGACTAATGATTCATCATCTGTTGGTGGTGATATGGAGAGCCAAAGTGCTGGAAGTCCTGCTGTCTCAGAGTCTACCTCTTCTATGCAGGCCTTGTCCCCATCCAACAGCACAAATGATTACCACAAATCACCTAGTATTGAAGAGAAACAAGTAAGAGCTTTACCAAGTGAGTTTGCCAATGGTTTGTCTCCAGCCCCAGCTAATGGTGGTGCTTTGGATTTGACATCTAGTAACACAGATAAAATGATTAAAGAAGAGTCTCTGAGTATGCTGTTTCCTTTCAGAGATAGAGGTAAATTTAAAAATACAGCATGTGACATTTGTGGCAAAACATTTGCTTGTCAGAGTGCCTTGGACATTCATTACAGAAGTCATACCAAAGAGAGACCATTTATTTGCACAGTTTGCAATCGTGGCTTTTCCACAAAGGGTAATTTAAAGCAGCATATGTTGACACATCAAATGCGAGATCTACCATCACAACTTTTTGAACCCAATTCCAATATTGGCCCTAATCAGAACTCTTCCGTTATGCCTGCTAATTCACTGTCATCACTCATAAAGACTGAAGTTAATGGCTTTGTGCATGGCTCGTCTCAGGATAGTAAAGAAGCACCCCCTGGTCTGGTTCCTTCAGGGCCTCTGCCATCTTCTGCCACATCACCGGTTCTGCTTCCAACTCTACCCAGAAGAACTCCCAAACAGCACTACTGCAACACATGTGGGAAAACCTTTTCTTCCTCCAGTGCTTTGCAGATTCATGAAAGGACACACACAGGTGAAAAGCCTTTTGCCTGCACTATATGTGGAAGAGCTTTCACAACAAAGGGCAATCTCAAGGTACTTTCCCTCTGGCTGCTTTTGTAATGTTGCTTTTTTAATTTTATAAACACTTATATCTGAAGGGTTGTAAACAACACTACTCTTAGGTATCTGTGGTTTTATCCGGTCAGCTTCAGCAGTAGTAGCTTTGCTTGCTGAGTGCCTGGCATTTTGAACAAGCTTGGAGAGTATAATGTGGTGGGGTATTACTGATACTTTGTAAAATGCACCCAGCAGTGGTGAGTTCCTATGCAGACTATGAAATAAAGCAGCCTGATGTTGGTAGGGAGTATTAATTAAAGAGAAGCATGAAGCATATTGCAAGCCTCGTTAAATAAGTAGAAGTCTTTTAAATATCCCATCTTTCATAACCGTTGTGTACAATAAAGGGTTTTTAAAACTAATATAATAATTATTGGGCTAATGGGCATTACTTTAATTGATTATATAACTAACATTTTCTACTGATATGTGTTGGAAAAAAGCAAATATACTTAAGTTCTCGAACACCAGTTGAGCACTTGACTGTGTACATTTTTCTGTTGACAGAGAATTTCTCTAGAGATTGCTGTTAGTAATGTGAGATGAATAATTACTTTCAGGCCATTCTGTCTATACGCAAGGCTCTCTGATGAGCAATCAGTAAAGGATACTTTCTTCCTGTCTGAAAAGGACGTTTATAGGGTAAAGGGTGTCAAATACAATACTTACTATTGCAATGAAAGTGGACATAGCAATTCTAACCCTGAAAGTAGCTGTCTGCAATTGTCTGAATAACATGAAGCCATTATAAACTAAATACATGTAATAAAAAAGAGTAATAAGCAATGTATTGTTCTGCAGGGATTTCGGGTGTTCTCTGTATGAACGCCCAAATGAAACTTATTGCCTATTTGAACTAGAATGTTGCATCCTTTAACTTTAGTGCCGTTCTTTACATAATAGGACGCATGGACTGCTTTCTTTGTTTTTTTTCTAACAGATGTTTGAACAAAATCCATATGAATACCACTGCTAACTCCTTTCTTCTCTCTCTCTCTCTGTGTCTCTCTTTCTCTCTTTTTCTTTGTAGGTTCACATGGGCACTCATATGTGGAACAGCACTCCTGCCAGGCGAGGCAGACGACTTTCTGTGGATGGTCCCATGACATTTCTAGGAGGCAATCCTGTAAAATTCCCAGAAATGTTTCAGAAAGATTTGGCTGCAAGGTCAGGAAATGGAGATCCTTCCAGCTTCTGGAATCAGTATGCAGCTGCACTCTCCAATGGCTTGGCTATGAAGACCAATGAGATCTCAGTCATTCAGAATGGTGGCATTCCTCCAATTCCTGGAAGCCTGGGTAACGGTGGTAGTTCACCTATTAGTGGCTTGACGGGAAGCCTGGAGAAGCTCCAGAATTCAGAACCTAATGCACCTCTAGCTGGTCTGGAGAAAATGGCAAGCAATGAAAATGGGACAAACTTCTGTTTTACACGTTTTGTGGAAGACAACAAAGAAATTGTAACAAATTAGAACAAACCTTAAAAAGTAACATTCCTGCAAATAGTGCAACCTAGGGTTGTTTTTTTCAAGTCAACAAACTACAACATTATAAAGACCTTCTTTTGTACCATGTTCTACTTCTAGAGTTCTAAGAGAGCTTATTTATTAGTGATATAACCTTGCTTTGCAAACAAATGCAAGCATTAACTTTGGTCTCTTGTATTTTGAACTAAATACTAATCGACTAGAGTGCTGTAAACTTGCTGTAACATTTATGGCAGTTGCAAGTCTGTTCTGCTAGGTGATCTTATTCTGGCATTAACTTATTTTCTATACCCAGTTTAACATGAACTCTGGTATTGATGCAATGCCTCAGTGATGCATTAGATCTCTAATAAAAGTCTGTATATAAATGTACACTTTGATCCTGCTGGAAATTTTATCAGCAAACACAAAGTTTAATTTTCCAAACAGAATTACGAAAAGGACTGAAAACCGAGATTATAAACTGAACAGCGTGGGTCCTTTACACAAGCTCAGTTTTTGATTTTTATTATAAAATTAAAACTGCTTTAATTTTTGTAGATTTAACATTTTCCGTTTTGAACTGTTATTTGTATTGTGCTTTTTACTTGAGTCGTCTTAAATGTTAATACGTTTCTGTACAGTAATAAGCACGCAGATTATTAGAGACGATACAAAAGTGTTGTTTTGGTAGTTGAAACTGAGACGTAACATTTTGCCTTGTAGGTATATTCATTATAGAAAGTGTGCTGGACTTTCACAATGCTGCTAAGTATAGCATCTTAAACAACCTTCCATGGACAACTGTAGATGCTCCTGTATATACTATAAGAAATATCACTTGCATTAAAATGTACATATGTTCCTTACAAGACCAAGCCCTACTTCTTGACTGAGGGAACAAGTATAGTGTTTGTTTATTTTGTATTAGGCATGGGGGGAGGGGGGAAATCTTGGACTGTTACATGCACTTTCCTGGAAAGTTGAAAGGAGAAGAAGTCCAGTTTCTTTAACATTTAATACTTACTAACAGCAGAGATACTGTAATTTTACTCGAGTAATCAAATACATTTTTTGCAACAGATAAATGTTGTCTCTGTGTTTTTTAAATTAGACTGTCCTCAGTAATATCTTTGAATGTATTTAACTTTTCTCTTGGGTAACATGAACTATCCAAGTATGTGTATATATATGTTTATATTTGTAAATATGTGTGCGTGTGTCTGTATTAATGGATAGTATATATTTTTTCACAACTGTTAAGAATGGGAGCTTTGTCCTTACCTGTTCAGTGATATCAACTACCCCAGTCATCACATCGGTGGCTATTTTGGGATTGTTTTAATATATTATATATAGGGCCAGCGATGGCCTAATGGAGACTTGGTAAGTTCTTTTTCAAGCAAATGCACATTGATTTGAAGATCTGATTTCCAGTTCCAAATGTTTTATATTTTGTATTTACTTCATATGATTTGTGGAATGTTTGTGGTATGTTATGATTTCACTCCATATGTTACGAGGTTTATGACTCCATTGTGAGAAAAAATGGAACTTGCACATTACAGGCATGATCCAACCTTTTTATGCAACCCCAGTTAAATCCATTAACTTTGAGAACGTTGTAAAGAATCAGAATTGGACCCAAGGTTTTCATAGAGGGGAGTTTTTTCCCCCCCATCTCCTGCCCCTGCCTCCCACCCTCCCAAAAGACCCCCTCTCCCAAATGAGAGATCAATTTGGCAGTGTTTAGATTATCCAGACTTAAAGCAAACATTATGTGTATGTATATATGTATACATATGTATATATGTGTTTATATATTTTATACTACTGATATTCAAGTATTTTGAGGACTTAATTTTTTTTTAAGACTATGCACCTGCTATCCTATTTACTTCTGGTATCTTCAATTAGGGGTTGGGAAGAATGTAAATATAATACTGAGACAAAACCTGGATGTTATCTACTGTGCAAGATCTATTTTTAAAGGAAATTTTAGATCAAAACTGTAGTGGGGTACCTGGATATCTTTGAGGAGCTGGGACCTTAACAATTTTTGTTTTCCTGTTTGTTTTTATTGTTAATCTATATATAAAAAGTAATTTTGGTCTATAATATGCATTTCTGTTAATATGTACTAGAACAGTACAGGCAGCCCAGTTTACAACATGAGCATTTGAGGATATTTAAATCACTTTTGCCCTCAGGAAAAAGTAAACTAAACTTTAATCATATTATCAAAGATACTAAATATGAATCTTTTTAGAATAACTTAATTTTTGTGTAATGCAGTAACAGAAAGAAGGTAAAACATTTTTCTTAAAATATGGGTTACAGGTTTTTTCTTTATCGTCATCTGAGACGCGTCAATAACTTCCACTGAGGAGAGCAGTAAGCTTGTAGAACCAATTTCTGCAATTTAAAAATAATCCTGTGCTGGTCTTATTGCCATGAAAAGGAACAACCTCAGGTGCAGTTGTACACCTACACCACTCTTGGGGGCAGGAGGGAAAGTGAAGTGATGAATAGATCAATTCTCTGTTGCTGTAACTCTACTGAAGAGAAGGTAGACTTATCAAGGAATGGCACTTTTGATTTTTGAGTATTATTTACAATTTAGTTGGCTTCCTGTGTCTTCCAGTTTATGGTTTTTACATTTGCTATGGGAAATACTGGATGGATTGGAAACAGGAGATATCTGTTATGAGATGGGTTGTGGAAAGTCTTGGGTGTAATGTTTTTATGTGTCAGTCAAAAGTGTCGGTACTAATTGCCTAAGGCCCTGATTCCTGTTCTGAGCTAAGGTAACTATATACTCCGAAATGGCTGCTGAATGAATAGCTTGATAAGGAGCTTAGAAAGTAAAGTCATTCTTTGGGCTACCTCCAGTTGCCACCCCTAACGCAATTCCTTCTCTTGCTGAGCAGGGGACTCAATAGGAAGTTGGCATGCTGAACATCTCTAAAGCAGCAGGTGGAGCAACCACTGCAACACAAGGTACGTCATGCTCAGCTCTCATGCTTGCTGCAGGATTATGCTATGTAGGCCTGGACATTATCATTTCTATGGACATATTTTTTCTTTCAATAAACTTAAGTTTGGGCCTGAGAGTCATTCAGCTGAGTTAGTTGTTAGCTGGAAATCTGCCTTTTCCTTTTAATAGAAGAGATTTTAATGTAAGGGTGGAATAGGTAAGTGTCCATAGGTGTGTGAAAAGGTTCCCCCCTCCCCCCCTTTTTTTTTTTTATTCACCACTTGTAACTCCCAGTGACTTCAAAGCCTCTCAGAGTCTCTGTTGGGGGAAGTGCAGCATGTGGGAAGTACAGGCAATGCCTGTGCATTTCTCTTAGGCGAGTTAGTTTCATTGATTTAAGCCAGTTGGAATTTGACACACTCCTCCTCCGTTTGTTTAAACAAGACACTTTGTTCTGGCCATGTCCCCTTCTGTCCACAGTTCCCCTGAAAGGGATCAGAATCGGCAGCAGATCAGCCAAATATATCCCCACGCTCCCCGGCCCTTCCCCGGGCGGACTCAGTGCTGAGGTTCCGGTGCAGAGGCGCACAGCCCCGCACGCAGCACCCTCCTCCTGCGCGGCACCCTTCAAAACTACTCCGCACGCCCAGAAACCAGTTTCTTTTTGCCTCCTGCCAAGAATTTCTGCTATTGGGGCTGCAGGGGAGGGAAGCTAAAAATAGTCTGGCTCCTCACGGTGCAGAGATCATACTCCCTCTGGCCATCAAGGGCATGGGGGTGCGGATTTGGCGGGTTTATTTCTAACGATACAGATCCGGAATTGCTCCTAGAGCTTAATGTTTGGCTCCCTGGGAATGAAAGCGGTGCTGCAGTTAGCTTATCCCGGGGGGGGCAGGGATGAAAGGCGCTGCGGGCAGGAGGCGAGGAGCGGGCCGGAGCCGAGGTGCTTGACGAGGCTCCCGCCGCGGGGGGATGGCGGCGGGCGCAGCCCCGCGCGCTGGGGAAGGGCAGTGGGACGAGGCGAGGAGGTGGGTCCAAACTGCTGATGGGGTTTGTTTGTTTTTCCCCCTGGAGGGCGAAGAGCGGAGTGAATGGCCCCATCCCCCCGAGGGAGGAGGTGTAGTAGGAAGGAGCGGCCCGCCCGCGCCCTTCGGGAAACAAGCGCTCGGGGAAGGCGAGCGGGTAAGACACGTGTCCTGGAGCCCGGCCGGAGCCGGCAGGTGTCCCCGGGGATGTCCCTGCACCCGCGACTCGACTCCCCTG